GGGTCGTGCCAAACTTTTTACATCCTTGGCCCCCAGAAATGCCAACGCTATAAGTGGTACTATAACATTGACATTTAACATGTGATGGCCTACCTAAAAGAAATCCTTACAACTAGTGTGAAAATTTTTAAACTTGAAACATTCAAATTAAAGGTTTCGAGAATTGTTTGATTCCAAATGCTTTAATTTCTAGGAACATTATTGTGACCACCAAGTTAATTTATTCCTTTTTATTGTATCTTAATGGAAATCTTTGACTCTGCAACGTTTTTTTATCTAGAAGGAGCGAACGTCCGTAGGGCATGAGGGATATAATCAATAATATATAGGTTTGGAATCTATGAAAAATCAAATTCAAAAGTATTAGTATTGTATATATCTAGAAGGGGTCCATTACTGTTAGGTAGATTTAGACTGTTTAGCATACTTTAAATTAAAAAGAATTAAATCCCACCAACTGATAGAAGCCTCCAATTTGGATATGGAATAAAGCCAATAATAATAGCAAAACAACAAATAATCATGTGTGATGACTCCTCCATTATTTAAAAGGGTGATGTTATAAGCATAAATTTTTTATATCATTTTTTTATATAATTTTTACATATTATTAAATAAATATATGTATTTAATATCACAAGTTTCACATAAATTAAAAGAATTAATCGTTTAAATAACATATCAAGTTGTACAAAAAAGTGAGACAAAAAGATTATACAAAAATTATTTTTTCTATTTAAAATATATGGTAGAATGCTTGTTTTGATCGTGAAAAATATGCATTAATCAATGTGTTTTAAATAGATAAATTTGAAAGAAAATAAAGAGAAATCCTTTTCCCTTTACCCTCCAAAGATCTAAAAGAATTTAAAGTGAAAGGGTATTTACTACTATTTTGAAGAGTTTAGATGCCTAGAGATGAATCTAGGAGTAGTTAAAAAAGCTCAAGAGAATGTGTAGAGAACATGGGAGATTTTCCCACTTTGTTACTCTCCTAAATCTTCCACTGAAATTAGAGAAGAGTTGCTTTGTTTTAACGGTTCCCTTGGTTTTGTGCTGTATTATTCAAACAAAAACCGTAGAAATGATAGGAAATCAAAGGCCAAATTATGGTGGGGTCCTTTTGCCTTTATTTCACATGACTTAGGGGGGTAACTATTCAGGGATCCTTAACCAATTAATTTATCCAAAGTAGACTTTCGAGTTTTGAGGGGGAGGTGGGGTGGCCTACGTGGACCCTAGCTCCACCCCAAAGGATTGGCCCATTCCATTTTATTATAATGAGACTAACCCTTGGCCCAGAAACGGTCTCATCTCATCCATGACGTAGATGGAAAATTGGAGCTTTCTTACCCTTTCTCTTCTTCTCTTTTCCCCTTTTTCTCCTTTTGTCCTTTAATTTGATGTAGATAGATGAGACCATTTTTTGAGTAGATTTTCCCTTCAATTTCCTCTTCCTCCACATGCATCTATTCTTCCAAGAGCATATATTCAAAAAGCAATATTAGATGGAATAAACTACCTAATTCAAACAATCTAATAATTTCACCTCAAAGGATTAGTGTGAGAAAATTGTGTCTATTCACATTTATCTCTTAAAATTTATGAAAAAAAAAATTATTATAAAATTATATCTTTTCAATAAATTTATATTAAAAAAGATTAAAATATATTATTTTTAAATAATGAATTAGAATATTTTTTTGTTCTTCTTGTAGTATTTTATTGAAACAACATAATTTTAAGAAAATTTTTTTTCGAATCTTTAAGAAATAGAGTGAATAAGCACTAACCTTATAGTATAATTGATAAAACGGTTTGCTTCTTACTTTATTGACTAAAATTCTATTCTTGAACTTAAGGAAAAAATGACTTACAAATTTGCTAATCTAACATAAATGATTCATAATATATATATATATATATATATATAAATGATCACCCATTGTTTATCAAAACATGAAATTGTCAACTCATTAAGTTTAATGAATGTATAATTTGATTAAAAATTATACTCCTACTGCTTATTGCTTAATGTAACCAAAAAGGCAATTTAGTCAATTTCAACTTTAATTTCACCGCCAATTAAGACGGCCTTTCTCCCACTTGTTGGCATTCTAAATAAAGCCATTTACTGGGTTGCTGAAATTCTTTATGGTTGGTGAGTATCTTTGAAATTGAAATGCAGATTACATTCCTCTCCATATGAGGACCACATATCACTATACATCCCTTTTAATGTGTCTTTCATGGGTCAATCTTTGAGGCTACAACTTTGGGTGCGTGGCTGCCCTAAAACTTTAAGAAAACAGTCTGCTTCAGCTAATTGATAGTGGTCCTGAACTTCCATCATCACAACAGCCAGAGATTAAGCTAAGGAAATATCAATAGCTCCTTCCCTCCTAAGATATTTGTTATTTTTTTTATTAAATTGGGTTTTTCAAATTTTTTACTAGCAATATTCTTTTAAAATTTTAAAGCCCATATTCTTTCAAAATAAAAGACATATTTTGGAATTAAATGAGTATTATTTTATCCCTCATAATTTTGGGCCAGGTTGTTTTCAACAAATAAAAAAAAAAGGAAAGCATGACCTGGATTCTTCTTGAAGTGATCAAAAGCTCCTAGATAACTTATAAAACACTGTTTCTTTTGAAATTGTTGCATCATCCTTTGGCCTTTAATCACTATTATGTCTATTAGGGGTTAATTTAAGCAAGTGTTTTTTTTACTTTTTCTGGCATTGTGTTTGATCCCACTTTCCAAAATATAATTAAATATAGAATTTAAAATAACCATTCTTGTTAAATTAATGTCACTCCAAATATTTTTATAATTATTTTTGACAAAAAGATATTATTTAATATTTTCAGAGCATAATATATTGGATAACTTCTGGTTGCAGAAAGACCAGAGTTCCAATATTTTAACTTTGGGATTGCCAAAATCCCTTTCAATTTGTACAGGGAGAGACGGGGAATTTCGGCCCATAAAACTTTTCTGGGACTTTTTCTCGGCCCAATCAACACTAGAAAATAGAAATAGAATATGAATATCTCAATGTTTTGCACAAAAAAAATGTGACATTAATAAAATTAAAATTTCATTCTTTGAAGTT